CCATTGGAAACCTGAGAATGTGTCAATGGTATGATGTACATATTTCAAATTTCCAAATTCTGTAAAGTGAAAAACATCCATTTGCCAGATCTCATTCCTCCGAAGGCCTTTAGGATTACATCCTGCTGGCAGTGGAGTTTGGTTATAAAAGGAACAAGTAGGACAGTTTCTCACTATCTCCTTGGCTTGTTGCCAAGTGATGGAGAAACTGTCCCCACGTTGCTGCCCCAGGACTATTGGGCGGGGCTAGGGTGACTCCCTACACCACATGTTTGCAGGTATCCTTGGAGGTCAGAGGGCAGTGGATCCCCTAGAGCTGGAGTCAGGCAGTTGTGAGCCTCCTGATATGGGTCCTAGGAACTGCACTTGGATTGTTTGCAAAAGCAGCAGGTGTTTGTAACTGCTGAGCCAGCTTTCCAGCTCACCTCCCATAGTTCTTGCCTTTGGTGGTGTAACCAAACGTATGGTTTCATTTCTTCTCTTCCTCCTTTATTCCTTTAGGAGATGTCTGAGCAGGGGACATGCTAGGACATCACTCTTTCAGGTTCCTCTTGGGTCCCAGGTCCTCTTGTTTATTAGAGTGGAAATTGGGAATAGATTGCTTTATTTCCCCCCACAAGTGCTGAAGTAATGCCTTAGCCTCCTGCTCTGGGCTGCTTACTCACACATGAGGGGAAGCCCTCTCTACCCTTGGACGCTTTCATGGAGGAACACATGGTTTTGGATGAGGGGACAGTGTTAAGACTTGTATGACTTAACACGGAAAGGACTTACTCACCCTAACTCCCTAACTCATGCTACTCCATGCCTCTTTGTTGTCGATGGAAGCCCTAGGCTCTACATGAGGGGATAATCACTCAATGTATTCTTCTTTTTTTTTTTTCTGAATTAACTTGTGTGGGGAGAGGGAGGCAGCATCAACCTTGGTTGTGTTTCACTATGGTTTTTGACAGCAGGAGCTCACTGGCTCATTCATTAGGACAAGCAGACTGGCCTGCAAACCCCAAGTGCTGGGAGTAAGAACATGTGCCACGGTAACCAGTTCTTTACACGTGTTCCGAGGATCAGACTCGGGTCTGTGTGCTTGCAAAATGAGCACTTTGCTCACTGAGATGTCTCCCCTGCCCAATATACTCTCCAGATTTCTTTCCAATCATAAAAACATAGACTTAAAGGTTCAACCAAACCACATAGTGACTCAGTATACACACTTTTGCTGCCAGCTTTTCTTCTCTTGGCAGTGCTGTGTCCCTCTTTACATCGCTTTGTTTTCTCAAGGCTCCGCACTTCCCATATTGATGAAGTGTGCTTTTCTAGCTATTAGTCTGCCTTCATGATCATTTTATTCATAAAAATGTGACCATACTCTTAAAAAAAAAACTTTCCAGGCACATTTTTTTTTTTTTACAGCATTAGAACTAGTAT